ATATTATGGCAACGTGTAGACCCACCTTTAAAGCCCACTCACTCTGAGTAAACTGGAGGGAAGGATCTAGTCTTACTCATGTTTTCCTTGCACATTGTTACACAGAGCTCCGTTCCTTTGTACAGAGCCAATACTCAATATTTGCTCATTCCGTTAAAAAACCGCATTACTGGGTATCTACTATGTGTCACAAACTCTTAGGTCCTGGAAACATAAATAATTAAGACCCTCGGTAGAGTGTAAAAGTAAACGAATGAATGAATGAATGGATCAATGAATAACAAAAATGTGAGTCCGTTTCAGTGTGGATCCACTCTATATACTAGTCATTATTTTCTCCTAATCCTACAAGTGTCTGGGGAAGTTTCCCAGAAAACAGGAATGGGGCTGAGCTAAATGACTCACAATATCACAATTCTCATAAAATCACAGTAAAACACAAGAAATGACTATCCCAAACCACACATAGTCTCTGTTTCACACACTAGAATGTGTAAATCAGAGAAACCCAATCTTTGTAAAGTTCAAGTATCTTAGAAGTAAACTGGAGGAGTTTCCTGTTGTAAAGAGCCCCCAAGGTGAATCTTCTAGGCAGTGACTACTCATCCCACATGGATCTCTCTGTAAATCCAGTTCCCACAAACAGGCGTTTGTAGAACTTGTGTATCACAGAGACTGCAACGAATGGCCTTGGAACTCCTTGCAACTGTGGATTCTAAATCTCTGGTTCCAGGAGAGACATCTAGAGAGAAGGAGGAAGGAAGCATCAGCAAAAGCAGAGGGGTATCAAAGGAACGAGCTCAGTGAGAAAAGAGTTGCAAAGTCCAGGAGACAAATAGCTGTGAAACAAATGGCAACAATAAGATTGGTCGGAGGAAGACAGAAGAGTTGTAAGAGCAAATGCCATATTAGCTCCTTCCAGGCAGAGCCCTGCAACACTCTGCAGCCCACAGCCAATCTGTCCTGCCATAGATGCATGAGCTCTGTGCTTCCCACATCTTGTCATTGTCCCCATTTAGGGAAAGACTATTTAAAAGGGGGTATACGAACACATCAGAGCATTTCCAAGTAAAATTCTAGGGTTTCGGGGATCTTTTGAAATGTTCCAAAGAAATACCACAAGGTCACAGTTCAGAGTGGTAACAGGGACAGGTGAAATAAACTTGAACATGAGTTGATAATTATTGAAACTGAATGACAGGGACATGGGAGTTCATTATTCCAGTCCCCACTTTTGCATATGCTTGAGAATTTTCAAAACAAAAAGTCAAAAGAAAACACAACTGAGCAATGGGGTTTCGAGAAAGAAATCTAAGATGACAAGCCAGCACCAGACTCTGATCTCACCAGGCACTCTTCTTCATCTCTCAAGACAAGGTCTTACACTGAATTTGGGACTTGCCACCTGGTCTGCCTGCTGAAGTGCATGGTTATGGACAAGACTGTGTAGGTCAATCTCATTACACAGGACGGACATGCATGCTCTTGGCAGGTTTTGAGTCAGCTTGTAAGGCCATTTCTTTTCCCCCCTACAGGTGGCCCAGCACCCCCCCCCACCCCCACCCCCCTGCCCTGGAGCCTGCCAACACAGAAGCTAAGGATAGATCAAGCTTCTGGGGTGGCAGGATCAGGTAGGAATGCCCAGCCACCAGTCTCTGCACATGACCCAGGAACTCAGGGCCCATCTCTGGGTAGGGAACATGGGGGCTCCACCCTCTTAAAAGGGGAGAATGGAATTCATTGATTTAACAGGAATAGTCTTTACACTGGGCTCTGAGTTCCTTGAGATCTGGGGCTGTTCTATTTCATATTCTGTTTTGCCTGGGGTCTAACTCAATGCAGAAGCTACGTAAATGTTTGCTGAGTTGAAATACAGTTGAAGACTGACAAAGTGGTCATTCAAATACACCCAAGGATTTAACTCGCCCAGTCCCTGTGTTCAGATGCACTCAGATTCTCTCGCTCCCTCCCTCTCCTTCCCTATGAGGGATAATTAATAATTCAGCAAACAATAGTGTGTTCTGATGATTAAGAATATAACAATTTAATTGATATTTGTTTCTGCAGCGGCGCAATATCTCATTTTCCCGGGAGGGCAGTTTTCCATTTCTGTTCCAGCTTTCTCCCAATAAAACAGATCAATCCTGGGGATACCTGAAGGCCATTTGTTAAGAAAGAAAAAAATGTGGGTAATGGGTTTGAAATAAACACAATACTATTATCATCATGTTTTAAACACTGACATTTATTTAGGGTTTGTGAACTCATACATTATTAAGATAAATTCTAATTTATATTAGTACATAATAGGCAAATATATAATACAATAAATTGCATTTGTAGACATAAATACAAAATTTGAGGTAGGGCCTCAAGAATAATGACTTTTTAAATGAATAATGCACAGTATATAATATGTACTCTGTAAGATATATATATGATGCATCATTTGTAACATAATATATTTTCTTCATGTACAGTTAATGAAAAAATATAAGGACCTGATTAGGGAACACATTTTTATTCAATAGGCAACAGTACCACATACGATGCCTGCATTTAGGACATTAGCCAGGTACACAATTTCAGAATAAACCTATTCCATGATAGGTCCATAATAAAGTGCAAAAAAAAAAAAAAAGACAAAACAGTTCCTAGTCAATTACTAAGTATCATCCTAACAATAAAATACACCTATAAGGCAAATGGTTACCTGAAGATGTATTTAATCCATGGCAGGCAAATCAAACCTCTGCTCTCAGAGATGATTCATGCCCAATCTGAAAATACTTTCTCTTTGGCTGCAGGCTGCTCAGAGGTGATCCAAGCCAAGACCACAATTCAAAATTACTTGGCCTTTCTGTACAGTTGAAGCAAACTCTGGGAATGATAGGGAGCTTTGCTTTTAGAAATCCCAGGGACACTTTGTGGAGAAATTACTATCGAGATTAAACTCACCCAAGCCTTTGCTCCCAACCTGGAAGTTTCGTGCATGACACCCACCCAGTGTGAAACAGAGGAAATGTTCCTTTGCTGGCCTTGGCCTTCAGTGCCTGCAGGACAACCTGCCATACAGCATGCTCCCACTGGAGTCAGCTGCCTCAAAGACGAGTGTCACAAACCCAAATCCAGGTACGGCAGCAGCAGTGTGATGTTGCCATCAAGCACACATTAAGCAACCATTATTGTGCAAGTCTCTGGGAAGAGGACGATGACTGATGGCCAAGGGAACAAAGAGGAAAGAAAAATTCAAATTTTAGGCATGGGAAGACCATGCTGACAGGTGAAGGTTGTCAGGCAGCACTGAGGCACATGTAGATAACAAAATAAGGACTTAGTTAAGGAAAACTCAACTCTAATGCAATATCAGCGTAAAGACAACCCAAGTCTTAGCCATTTAAAGATCATTGTATTAAATTATTTTTAAAGTGCTGCTCACTGAAGTACAAGTTACATTTCTTACACATTAAAAACACATGGGAAATTTCAAAGACGTTGAGGTCGAGATTTTGCACTGACCACAACTTTCATGCAACAAATGAATATAAAAGAAACAAACAAAATAAAACCAGACTGGACACATCTGTACATGACAAACACACAGCCCTAAAGAGACTAAAAGTTACTAAGACGCAAGACAAATATTTGCATAAGAAGCCACAACACCAACAGTTAAGAAATATACATTTTTTTTTCTCCTTTAAGGATATTACAAGGTTACTGCTTTTAACATATGGCTTTTGTTTTTCTCTGAATGGATTTCTGGCATTTGTCGGTGTTAGGAAATTATCTCACAAGTGGAAAATACCTCACCATTCTGCCCAGTAAAAACCAATGAAAATTTTTCCTCAGCAACTTGGTTTTTAACTCAGTTTGAAGGGGAATGCTCAAGGAGCCGTTTTTGACAATGCCCTTCATTTTCTTCTTACTCATTCATTTTTTTCTCATCCAATTGACTGTGGAAGAAAACACATAGCATGGAAACATCCACCTGGTTAGCATCCCAGCCAAGTGTGTGGGGGGGGGGGGGGGGCAATGTGGCAAAGGTTGATACATGATGACGAATCAGCTTGGATGCTGAACATCTGTCTGCCAGGGAAAGCCTCAAAGTTGAACATGGCTAGAGAAATGGGTAAAAACGGAGTTTACAAAGTCACCGTTTCCAGATAAGTTCGGAACCTTTCACCTTTCAGCAAATTTTACATGAAAATTGGCAATTGTAGGGAAAGGAAAAACACTCTGGCTGTTCAGGGAACAGCTAGCTACTGGGTCTCAGCCTGGACAAATCTGGACAAACACAAACGTAGCTGCCTCCAACTGTAACATTCACAGCAGAATGTAGCTAGCAAGGAGGCCCCTGCCCTCACAAGTCAACTTGCAGTTCAAGTTCATATGAGACAAACCTGGCAGCAGCCGTCGGGTACCCCCCTCCCCTTCTTTTAATCACGACAGCAATAATCAGCAGAAATGGGGTTGGCATCCAGCATCGGACTCCAGTTTTAGCCAAGAGGCAGGAGAGGGAAGCCAAAATCATTCGCCCTGACACAAACACACCAGTCCCATGAGAGAATGCTAATTGATTTCAGCTCTTTTCTTCAGGCTTCAAATTGGAAAAGCTAGAGATAATTTCCAAACCTAAGTTTTTCCTCCCTGCCTCTCCAGCTCCACCAGTTATCACCTGGAGACGCTAATTTTTGGTACCACTATGTGAAATCTGCTACAGTAAGGGGGGTTCTCATCAATATGGCTTTCTTGGGGAGACCAGTGTTCATGGCAGACAAGTCACTATGGGAAACACGGGGGCATTTGAGGCCGCAGCTCAGGTTCCTAACACTGTGTCTACGGGAAGCTCAGTTTAGTCTCTGTGATAGATTCTAGTAAGTTCTAGCTTTGGGAAATAGGCAGAAAAGGAAAACAAAGAGGGAAGAACAAACAGACACTGCAGACAAAAGAGATGAAAACCTACAGTTCAAAACCCATCTCTGTTTCCTTTTCTCCCATCCAAGTACTAACCAGGCCCGACCCTGCTTAGCTTCTGAGATCAGACAAGATCGGGCGCGTTCAGGGTGGTATGGCCATAGACTCTGTTTCCTTTTCTAAAGTTTCCACAGGCAGTTCTCAAAAACGGGAAAATCACGTCAGTGTTGGCAAATGACAATGATATTTGCCCTAGAAAAAGAAGAGCTCGGTAAAATGAGTTGAGACCTCTTTTTAAACCAATGAAGTCATTTAAAGTAAAAACATGTTACATTAAGGTCTTTTGTTAGGGTTCACTGCTGTTGAACGGGATGAAAATGTCACATCAATACACAAGATTTAAACTGAAAACTTTGCCTGAGACCCTGTAATGTGACGACAAACAAGTAAGAAAGTGATTGAGATGGTATCCCCTAAAGAAAACAATTTTTAGGTTCAGATATTATTACTGTAAGGAAAAAAAAAATCCGGACTACACTATTCTAAACTCACCATCTCTACAGTGGTTCTTAAGATATTTATAAGGACAGAAATCACCACTACGCATACAGACTACATGAACACATATCACATTTAAAAATCTCATATATGCATGTTCAGGATACAAGAAGATAATAAAGGTCACGGCTTCGCCAATCTCTGCAGACATATGATTCGCTCTCATTAGAGCACAGTTAAGAGTATTGTGAATTGGGAAGTCTTAAAATTGAATCGGCTAAATGTAGTCTTAAAAGCTATAGTCTTAATTGGCTCACTTGCTACTTACCTAAGCTGTATTTACCAGAAATTTCTGTAAATACAGTGACCTAAAATGTACTACCAGCACATGGACTATCATGGTTGCTTTCAACTAAACTCTCCGTTTCTTTGATTTCTCTATGACCACAGTTGGCATTTACTGTGAATGAAAAAGAGTAAAAATTGAGAAGTGTTCTGTCTTGTAGGAGGTTATGTCTTATATATAGAAAATATATAGACACAAACGGGTAAGTCTTGTTTTCCCCGAGGTTGGAAGACCAGGGATCTACAGCTCATGTAGAATGTCATGTAGAAACTAGAATGGAGCTCTGCTATGACCATACAGAGGCAAATTACAGGATGGCTCCTTGTGCACAGGTGGAGGAAATGATGAAGAGAATTCACAAATATAGTTACTTCAGAAAAAAGAAAAAGCAGAAGACAAGTGAAGGAAGAAAACTCTCCACTGAGATTCGCAGTGCGCAGAGACAAGTCTCTGAGTTCTTGGCACACTTGAGACAGTTGGCCCAAATGAGGGAAAACAGATCCCCAATTGTAAATGGAAATCTACAATTGGACACCCCAGCGGTGTCCGCATCCACTGGTTTGTCTTATCCTAAACCATTTTCAGACCCCTGCCGACCATCTAAATATACAATTGGACACCCCAGCGGTGTCCGCATCCACTGGTTTGTCTTATCCTAAACCATTTTCAGACCCCTGCCGACCATCTAAATATACCCTCCTAAACTTCCTGCATCTGAATGAAATCACTACATTGCTCAGCTCAGCAACACTATGGAGCCCAAACAACAGTCTTGTAATTCTGCCATTTTATATAAGCCTCCATGGCACCACCAAGGACAACACACAGTGGATACCCCCGCCCGACTGGGTCTCGCGTACCTACTCGTGACTTCACCGGAAAGTGCCCACTCACCTAGTTGATCCACTCCTGCCGGGTAAAGCCTGAGCTTCCAACCCCTCTGGAAACTGACGCCATGGACACAGGCAAAGCGCCTCAAGTGGTCTGTCTAGCTCCTCACTACAGCATGCGACACCGTGTCCTACTTTTCTATATAACCATTCTCATGCATGGACATGAACCAAGACGTGAGGAGAGAGAAGAAAATGGGAAGAAAGCCGGGGAAAACCTTAGGGGAGGCAGAGAGGAAAAACAGGATCAAGTCCGGGCCATCCCATGCCATTGGACTAGCACTGGGTACCCAGTTCCAAATCCTTCACTGGCAGTTTGAGTCCCAGGGAAGAGGTTCCCAAAGGGTCGATCATGTTCTTGTAACGCTCCCCACGGTGCTGAGCTAAGAACGGGCCCCAGTCCGGCTGTGGCGAGCACACCAACTTCAGCCTCTGCAAAGAAGCCAAAGACACACAGGGTCACAGAAGTAACACGCCACCCCTCCCCTAGGCACCACCCATCTATCCCCAAACTGCTTAATACCACTTTTGCCAGAACCTTCCTTAAGCCAAGAGGTCCCCGGCCAAGAGAAGCGGTTAGGAAGATAGCCCTCTTAATTAACGAGGTCAAGGGACGTTAAAGAGGAGACGTAGTTTGGTTCCCTTGAAGTTATTTACATCGCCCTGCGAGCAATATAACAATTGCTCAGAGTTTGCCTTGCACAAGATTAACAGAGGATAAAGGACCCAGATTTTAATTATACATTTTTTCCTTCCAAATGAAGAGAATTCGCAAGCTTCTCTCTCCACTGCCAGACGCAGTCTGTAAAAGACACGCGCTCAGTTACTGTTGTTCCATAATCCCAACAGTAGGTTGTTACATCAAAATAATTGGATTTTGTTTAGCATATTTCCCCAAAGTATATAAATGGCCGGGAAAAAAAAAAACACAACCCCAAAAACACACTGCCAAGAGTGAGCAAAGATTTTAATTATCTGTTGACAAAAAATATATGCTCCTGACTCGGTTCAGCAGTGTAGGCGAGCCAGAAATAATGGGACTGTCTCTGATCCTTCAACTGAACTTTTTACAGAAAACATAATTTGATGGGAAAATTTTCTAGAAAAAAGTTAAGAAAACATATTTCAGACTCCATAAGGGGGAACAATTATATGTTTATTACCTATTAAAGTGAAGCTATTTCTTATAGCTGTTAGTTTAATCTCCCCTTAATCATCAGTATGCAACCTTTGTGTCCCAAATCAACCATAACAAATTTATAGAACCAACTCATCAGTTTAGGGAATTTCGGCCTAAGACAAAAGTAGCAGAGGCTACACTAGCTTCTGTTCAAAGGGAATGAGATTTCTGGGTCAGTTGGTGGGAGGTTCATCTGGGGCAAGAGGGAGACAGCCCTGGGGGTAAAGGGGCCCACAGTAATTTACCTCAAGGGGACAGCAGACAATTTCCTGAGGATGCAAACTGGAATACCGCTTCAGTAAGGAGACTCCTATATTCCCTTTGTCAACTCTGTCTCCATTTTCAGTCCATTGAAAATAAAAGCCACCCCCTCTGTGGGATGTTCCGGAGACCTCTCTTCCTCTTCTCAATCTGACCAAGAGCCAAGCCCATACACCTGTTCTTCGCTGCCCTCTATTGGCAGGTGTTTCTTTGCCTTGGTCTATCCCAAGGCCTCTGAAACTTGAGTGTGCATCAGAATCACCTGGTGGGCTGGTTAAACTACAGACTGGGGGTGGGGGGGGTGGGGGGGGCTGGTTCCCGTTCCCCACCTCTGGTTCAGTGGAGCCAGCTGGAGCCTGCTCATTTGCATTTCCAACAAGCTCCCAGGTGGTGCTGATGCTGCCAGTCCCGGGGCCAAACCCTGAGGAGCACCGGTCTGGTCCAAAAGGTCCAACCTCTGGATTTTCAAGACAGAGGCAGTGCTGATCTGTCCCTAGCACGCCTGAGCCAGAGACTTCTCATAAGTAACAAAAGCCTGACCACACTTCACTGGTGGCTGAACAAGTGGCAATGCGTTCCCAGACACCCTGGAGTCAGGGTGGGGATTTTTTTTTTTTTCTTTAGAAATGAAGGAAGTATCCATCAAGGGATTAACAAGGACAGGTCTCGCCTCACACCAGCCATGCCCCGGACCTCTCATTACATTGTATGGGGATGGTGACATGTTCATGAGCTTGGACCCCTCAGCCATTCTAATACCAGTCCAACAGCAAGGGGTAGTGATTTAAAACGTAATGGGAATAGATGTTTGGAGGGAGAAGACTTGGACAGAGATGCACATCAGGAAAGCGGGAATCTGACGTGTGGTTAAAAACCAAATATCAGATGTAAACTGTGGGTAAGGGGAGAGGGGGAGGGGAACTCCAGGAAAGAGGAGACATGATCTCTTATTCCCCAGAGCTGCCAGGGCATTGAGGAAGAGCATAACAGCTTGGCCTGCGGATCGGCTAAGTCTCTCCATTAGAGGAATAATACATAATAAAAACGGGTTTAATAGAAACGGTGGCAACTGTGATCACTTAATCACCAAGTCTCCCTGGAGAATAAGTTTACCGAATCTGTTCTTTTTTAATGCACGGAGCTCTGAGAACTTCTCCCTCGGGAGGGGATGGCAAGGAAAAGGAGTTGATGGAATTACCTCAATAAATCTGCCAGGGGCCAGATGCATTTTTATCACAAACATAATTGGAATCCAGATAACCGAACAGGCGAGCATCAGCCATCCGAGCACCATGGACCAGTTAGGGTAGCGATAAGAGCCATAGGTCATGGGCTCCCACTGGTAAAAGCTGAAGCAAAGGATAAACTAGGAAGAAAAGAGAAACACATGTGTTAGGCTGGTGATGCGAAGTGTTCATTCCTAAGAGCCAGGTATTGAGCCCCTGCCATCAGTTTGCTGCTTTCCTATCTATGATCCCATGTTATATCCAGACCAACCCTGAAAGAGGTATTATTAATAATCCATTTTCCAAATGAAGAAACTGAATTTCAGGAGGAAGATGACACACACTTGGCCAGCTGCATTTGCCATCTCCCAGAACTGAGCAACGTGTATGGGTACACACACACACAGGCTGTGAAGACACTGTAAGGGCCATACATCAAGGGGACTGATGCGTGGAGCTGGGCGTATTTAAAGGGTTGTCTGTACTTTCTATAGTGGATAATCAAGCTTTTGTTGTGAGAAAGAATCCATTCAATGTAGGTATTTAAACAAAAATTTTTTAATGTTTAGTTTTGAGAGACAGAGAAACAGAACCTGAGTGGGGGAGGAGCAGAGAATGAGGGAGACACAGAATCTGAAGCAGGCTCCAGGCTCTGAGCTGTCAGCACAGAGCCCGACACGGGGCTTGAACCCACGAACCGTGAGATCATGACCTGAGCCGAAGTCGGATGCCTAACCAAGTGAGCCACCCAGGTGCCCCTAAATGTATGTATTTTAATATTTTTAGAAATGAGTTGATGGGGTGCCTGGGTGGCTCAGTCGTTTAAGTGTCCTACTTCGGCTCAGGTCATGATCTCATGTTCTGTGGGTTCGAGGCCCTCATCAGGCTCTGTGCTGACAGCCCACTCATGCTCTCTCTCTCTCTCCCTCAATTTCTCTCAAAAATGAATAAACATTAAAAAATAAAAACAAAAATAAATAAATAAATGAGTTGAATCTACCTTGACTTCTCCTTGAATGGGGAATGGCCCGTATCCAGGCGCTGCCTTTAAAGCTGGCAGAGTGAGGCCAGGAGTGGTTGGCAAGCAGTGACTGAGCCTGAAGCTGAGTCCTATAATAAACCATGGGGCACAGAGTGGGCGCACGGCGCACTCTCAACCGACTCAAGATGAACGGGCCGTGTCACCCAACAGTGGGCCAAGAGCCAAGAGGCCAGCAGGCTGATCTCGGTTCCACTGCTAGCTAGAGGAGGGACCCTCATGTCTCAGACTTCTCTGCTACAAAAAGGATATATTTCACACTGCGTACACAACACACAGGGGCTTTCTGGGAACAATGGTCTGATATTTACTCAAAAGTCCCCTCTCAATTTGAAGAGAGGTGATGAGTCATTTTCTGCCCATTATCTGCATCACTGCACACTTCGGCAGGAGCAAGGAGCACCCTCTGAAAGCAAGTTTAGAGCAACTGAAAAGGAACAAGGGAACACCCGTGGGAACAAGGGAACACAAAGAGAGGCACTGGAAAAGACAGAACAGGGGTTCTAACTGTTCTTGCCACACCTTCGGGGAGCACTGACCTCAGAAACTATGTTCTTGCCCATGTTCATAGCGGCAATATAGTAGCAGCCGAGAATAATGTACCTAATAATGATGACATAAGTCCTGCCTTCCCCCCCCCCCCCGACCCTGCCGCCCCGCACATGTCATTCTATCTTAAGCAGTAAAATAATGGCCCAGAAATGATTGGAGGGAATTATGTCAGCAAAGATGATATATGGAAGTGTTTTAGAAAAGCATGAAGCACTATACAAATGTAAGGCATATCTATATTATTGCTGCAAAGCCCAGGCTGCTGGGCCAAGTGATTATTTCAATGCAACAATAATTCAATGTATTGATCTGAAGCAACATGAGCCTGAAGACGGCTGTCGAAAACGCTGCTCCTACGGAAAGAGATGCCTTACTCTAGGCCCCTTTTTAAACATTTGCCCCTAGAGTTACAAACTTTATTAACCAGTCTATTGGAAGAATGGCCTAATGTAATTATGGTAAGTTACTCCATTTCATTTACTATATAAATAGCAATACATCTGCTTATGTGTGCACATAATTCAGTAACGTGATCTGACTATGTATACAATAATTGCATGGGGAATATTTATAGCTCTATAAATCCAAGAAGGCACATATAAAAATGATCAATTTCATTTCAGAGGTTTCTAAGTAATTTAAACCCATAATCTCAGTTCATTCCAGCATACCACAAATACTCGCTTTACAGAAGGGCAAGTGGCAAAAAATAAGTGTTAGGCTTGGTCCTTTGGTACCCATTTCCAGTTGCACAAATTCCACATCAAACTTATGTGCGCACACCTGTTCTTGCCATAAATTTCCCTCTGCCAAGCCAACTTTGATAAAACCCTGCCTCAGACAAGCCTGGCCATGAGAGATAATAATTTAACCACTGAGTCAGGCCCACCCTGACATTTTGCTGATGGCAGCCAAGGAAGGAGAGAGGTACATCAGTTGACAATGGATTTGGACCGCTTCTACTTGTCCATGGCTCCCAAACACAGAAGGGGAATCTGGATCAGGAGCTTTTCTGGGATCTCTACAGGTTTCTGATGGGAGTTTCATAATTGAAATCAAGAAAGCACAGCATGTTGAGAAACTTTCTCAAAAAACACAGCAAGTCCCTGCAATTTCTTTTCCCTGACTCTCTGCTCACAGAGATTAGAATTACTTTAATTCCAAACTGGCCAAACTCCACTTGGAAGTGAAAGCACTGAGTTTCTAGAAATTTATTAGAGTGTGGGCTTGAGGCCTAGAAGCCCTGGATTCAAGTCTCAGCTCTGCCTCCTGAAAGCTTTGTGGCCTTGGTCAAGCTCCTTAGCCTCCCTGGGCCTCAGCTCACATAACTGTAAAATGGGGGAAAGGATCACCCACTAAGCAGAGTGGTTGGAAGCTTTAGGGGCAAAGTGCCTTCCTCCAAACAGACCTCCACAAATGGTGGTGCCGGTTCTTACGTTTATGTGATACGTTTCTGCAAAATATAATAAAATTCTCTGAAGCTTAATCTCTTCCAAGACAGGAAGGAAAGTCAGGTCTTGATTTCACCCAAGAATAAATCATATGTGGTGGTGACTGGGGGAAACAGTGAAGCTCAGGAGAGCCAGAGAATGCCCCCAGGCAGGAGAGTTTCAAAGTCCCCCCCCCCCCACCCCCACCAATTAGGTAAATCTGAGCTCTTCATATACATTTCAGTCCTAAACTCAAGAAACTGGAAAATCCATTTTGATTCTTTTCACCCCTCGTGCCCCAGATCTAGTGGGACTTTTCTGACAAATTATCGCCTCTAAAATGTGAGCATTGATGTGGGCCTCTCAGTATGGTGTTCATGTCAGTGCAGAGGGAGATAAATGCTGAATGGTTTTTCTGTCTAAACTTATGTCTTTTCAGAAATCAGTTGAGGTGTTTTGATTAAAATTCACTCTGTGACAGTTGAAAAAAAAAAAAAAAGAGGGGCGCCTGGGTGGCTCAGTCGGTTAAGCATCCGACTTCAGCTCAAGTCATGATCTCACGGTCCGGTCCGTGAGTTCAAGCCCCGCATCAGGTTCTGTGCTGACCGCCCAGAGCCTGGAGCCTGTTTCGGATTCTGTGTCTCCCTCTCTCTGACCCTCCCCCGTTCATGCTCTGTCTCTCTCTGTCTCAAAAATAAATAAATGTTAAAAAAATTTTTTTTAAATAAATAAAAAATTAAAAAAAAAAAGGAAATACATATTTTCTTTACAATTTTACTTCATCCTGTCTTGTTTTCCTTTAGAGAACCTGGTGCTGAAGTTAAACAACGGTCTTAATCTGGTTTCCAGTGCCACCTGCCGGCTGCAACCAGAACTACAGCCAGCTTCCTGCCGCCTTGCTTTGATAACACCCATCACAAGCCAGGGAAGCGGAGGAAAGACAAGGTCGCGGTCAATTACTGTGCTTGGAGGGTGAATTAAGGCAAAGCCTTCAGCCTGTATCACAATAAAGGAAGGGACGGGATGTGCATGCAAGTCCCTATGCAGATTTACTGACACATGAAGGGCTCTGATATTTAAAAAGATGAATGTTAGATGATCTCAAAATGTCATTGTCACACTTGAGGATGATGAGATAGTTCTCAAAAAACAATAAAAGTGAACCATAAAGGTCTAATTTATGCTATCTTGGTTGTAGAGCAGCTCTACTGAGTAGTGGTTAAGAGCAAGAGTCCTGGAGCCTTTTGCCTGGGCTCGAACCCAGGCAGTGGTTGCTAATTATTAGATGTGCAGTGCTAGGTAAGTCACATAGCCTCTGGGTGTCAGCTTCCTCATCTGTGAAATGGAGGCGACTGCAACGCTAGCCCCGCAAGGCTGCTGTGAGGGAGAGATGTGGTGACACACATAAAGTTCTCTGAACAGAGCCCGGACCGTGGGTAGCATGCGGGAAATGTGACTGTAATCTGCTAACAGTACATGAGGAAATGTTCTGTAAGGTTGTTCCAAACTGCATGAGTCACCGCTAAGCACCTTCAGGTGGGCCACTAGATCTCTCTGAACCTCAGTTTCCTCTTCTGGAAGGCAAGAATAATACACCTTGTTCAAACGTAAAGCACCACATACATAGGCGAGATCCAACTACATGATAAAGCGTGCAGTCCTTACCGTTAAAATGGTTGGAGTTACGAACGCCCAGCAGACTTTCCAGAAAATGTTTGGCTGGAATCCAATCATCATTTCTATATCTTCACAGAATCTTTGCAAGCCTGCAAATAGACAAGTGGAGACAGCATGAGGTACAGTGGCAGGGGGTTGGGGGAAGGGAGGGTAGAGGACAGGGTCTAGAGGCCCTCACTCAAGTAAGTGCCATTGGCTAGGGATGGCCCCAGACTGGTGTCAGCATGACCCCTATTATGCAAGAAACCATCAGACAAATGATTCGCTGCCAGGAAGATTAGGGCAACTGAACATTTAAATAGATATTAAATATGCTCTGCAGTGAGGGTCAAAAATGTCATCCCAAGGTAACATCTAAAAAGCTCAATTGCAGTCTAGCCCAGGCGTCTCAGCACTGCCACAGCCAGGCATAGTCACCTGTGCGGCTGTTTTCACAGACGGCCTTATGTGCTTAGCAACAACTTCGGCAAAATCCATTACGATCGTGGTCAATAAGCACAGTGTATTACGAAAGCCTTGGGATTTAGAGTGAGAGTCACTACATATTAGTTTTTGTCCCCACCCTCCCAAGGACACTCTTCCATGAGCCAATTTATCTTCACTCTGTGTAAGATGGCAATGGCCATTGCCCACTCTGTCGGAGCTCAAAGGACTGCTGTCCTGGTCACCGATCAACTTCACTGAAGTATCAAGCAGAGGAGATGGTTATTCTCATGGCCACACATAACTACCATCCCCACACACTCACAGTTTACCAAGACCTTTAAGCTACTCCTTGGACGGAGGGGCCACTGAGGAAGGTTTTGGAAAGGGACAGCTTCTCATATTGTTTCCTGAGCTCATCAGAAGCATGGCTTTCCCCCAAGTGTGGGTCGCCATGCTGATGGGACAGGAAAGCTCCCTGAATTCAAGCTTCAGTGAGCCAGTAGTTCTGACCAGGGGCCCAGGAGCCTCAGCTTAAATCTCCCCCTTGCTTTATCCTCTGGTCATTTATGTGAAAAGTAGGTACCCTGCAGGTCAAGAGGAGCAGAGGCACTCCTCAGGGAAAGCCCCCATTTCCACTACGCCTCCTCCTTTCAGGAATAATCCCTTGCACATCTTGAGACCTTCTTGTTTGAGACATTGGCCACTTGTTCCTCCAGTTCCTGGGCTTTCCCAACCCCCTTAGGTTTCTGGGTCCTCTGCCCTTAGTCCCATGAGGAGCAGGGGGATTCAGTTTCTGGGGGCTCCCCTTCCAGTCCTCACTTGCTATCTCTTACCCTTGGCCATCCCCTCCCTGTGTAGCACCTGTACGAGCTGCCTTCACCTGACCTGTGCCCCTGTCCCCACCTCAGCCCAGAGTTATCCTCTAGCCTTGTCCCCTCAATGCCTGCTCTGTGCTGCACGGCAGCAGGAAAGAATAATGTGATATGAAAAAGCAATCTCTTGCTGGGGTAGAAAGCAGACACTGGTATTCCTTCAGGGAACAAAATAGTTCATCTCAACCCCTTTTTTAAAAATGACCCTGATAATATTCTATATCTTGATCTGGATGCTGGTTACCTAGGGGTAAAAATTCATTCAGCTGTATACTCAGTTATGTGTTCCTTCCTGTATACACGATGTTATACTTCAATATTAAAGTTTACCCTCAAAAGTCCACTCTAGCCATCATCCTCAAAATAATGGATCCTGAGACCTTCCATAGTCCTCAGCTCCTGTTATTTGCTTCTACTCCATGCCAAGCCCAGACCCAGAATGTCAGCTAACTCTCATGATCATGAATCACCAGGCCCTGCTGACAGCAGCCATGAAGGAGGACAGCCAAGACTGAGGTTAGCTATAGAGCAGCCTGCTCTGGGAACGGTGTGGGAGGTTCACCAAAGACAGCTGTTCTCAACTCACTCTAAAGTTTCTCAGGTGGCAGCTGAGCTTCCTATTCTATCTTAAACCCTGATCAGGGTCAATCACAATGTGGTACAAGGGAAAGAGTGCTGGATGGGGAGTTAGGATCTAAGAATTGAACCCCTGTTCCGCCTCTAATTCATGGTGTGATCTCAGGAAAGGTATTCTGTTTCTGAGCCTTTGTTGGTTTGCTGGGGGGACTGGAGAGGTCAATCCATGACACAAAGAGGCTCCAGGTTGCTTATATTCACAGGCAAGAACTTCATGCCATGAGCAGCTGACCTGACCCTCTTTGGATTTGTTATTTGTGCATGTTCTTTAGTGTTATCAAATGCCTTCAAATGAGTGGCCTCTCCGAGCAGTGAGGGGAGAAACTCAAAGGAATAGAAATCAAAACTAAGGCCCAGAAAAATAGACATAAGACACTGAAGGAAGCCTGAGTTTTTAAAAAAGAAGATTCTAGAAGTTTCTGCTATTGTTTTCAATTCTGTTACCAGATTATTCCTCTCCAATAGACCATCCCCAAGAGATGATGATGTACAGCTTGACTGGGAAACTGATTTGATGGAGTGCAGGGTTAGACACGAGGAAGACACAGAGATGGCCTCC